TCTCCTTAGACGTCTTAGGAGACATCTCCTTAGATAGAGGTATTCCATGTCTGAAAGGTAACATACCTTTCTTGGAATCCTGCATGCTGAATCTGGCCAAGACAGTATCTATGTATGAAGACTGGGATAAGCACAACATTCTCTTCTTACGATCTCTAATGAGCCTAATACCAAGAATGTGTCCTGCTTCACCTAAGTCCTTCATATCAAACTGCTTAGACAACCACACCTTTACGTCTGATAACTCCTTCTTACTGTTTCCAATAAGCAGTATGTCATCTACGTAAAGCACAAGAAACACCACCACGCTCCCACTGATTTTCTTGTAAACACAGTGCTCATCCGGACATTGAGTGAACCCATACGACTGGATCACCTCATCAAAACGGATGTTCCAAGATCTCGAAGCTTGCTTCAGTCCATAAATAGACCGATTAAGCTTACACACTAGATGTTCACGACCTTCAGCAATGAATCCCTCTGGTTGCTGCATATAGATGTCTTCCTGCAGGTTCCCGTTAAGGAAAGCTGTCTTGACATCCATCTGCCAGACCTCATAGTCCATATGAGCGGCTACAACCAAGAGAATCCGAATGGACTTAAGCAAAGCTACTGGCGAAAGAGTATCATCATAATCAATACCCTCGATCTGGGTATAACCTTATGCAACAAGCCTAGCCTTAAAGGTTTGCACCTTCCCATCCAATCCTCTCTTTCTCTTATAGATCCACTTACATCCAATGGGTCGTACCCCATCGGGTGGTTCTACAAGATCCCAGACCTGATTAGAGTCCATTGACCCCATTTCAGCTTTCATTGCAACATTCCATGAATCTGCATCTTTATCTTGGAGTGCCTCATCGTAAATTCTTGGGTCCGATTCTAGGCCTCCTAGAACTGAGTCCGATGACTCTCCAAGACCTATCCATCGGTCGGGTAAATAAGAAACCCTCCCACTACGATGAGGCACTGTCTGCACTGGTACACTCTCAGTGTGTCGTGTTGCAGTATTATGTGATGTATCTACTTGCGCACTCGGTGGGGAACCATCGATTTTACCCCTTAACTCCTCTAAGACTAGTCTACTCGCGGGCTTATGATTCATAATATAGTCTTCTTCCAAGAATCTAGCGTTCGTCGAAAAGATCACCTTCTGATCCTCAAGACTATAAAATAATCCACCTTTCGTTCCCTTGGGATAGTCTACGAAAACTCGTGCTTCCGAACGTTTCTCCAACTTGCCAGGTTCCTGCACTAACACGTGTGCAGGACTACCCCAAACTCGAAACTGCGAGAAACTGGGCTTGCGCCCTTTCCACATCTCATAAGGGGTAGTGTCAACTGACTTCGACGGACCCATGTTCAGAATATACGATGCCGTTTCCAATGCCAAACCCCAGAATGAATCTGGTAACCTCGAATAACTCATCATAGACCTAACCATCTCCATAAGAGTTCTATTTCATCGCTCTGCAACCCCATTCTGCTGGGGCGTGCCGGGTGTAGTCAGTTGGGATTCAATCCCAGCTTCCGATAAGTATGTCCTGAACTCTCCAAAAGGTATTCGCCACCTCGATCAGAACGAAATGACTTGATACATTTACCATGAAGCTTCTCCACAACTGCCCGATACTCCTTGAATTTCTCAAAGCATTCGGACTTGCGGTGCAACAGATAAACGTACCCATATCTCGAGTAATCAACTATGAAAGACATATAGTACTCGAAACCTCCTCTAGCATGGATCGACATAGGACCACACAAATCAAAATGAATCAATCCTACCACTTCTTGGCTCCTATACCCCTTTGCCGTAAACGGCCTCTTGGCCATCTTACCTTCTAGGCATGATTCGCAAGTTGGATAGTGCTCTTCTAATGGACCGAGATGTCCACTGGCCACTAACTTTTGAATCCTCCTAAGGTTGATGTGCCCAAGTCTAAGGTGCCACAGATATGCTTGATTCATCTGCGAAGACTCCTTCCTCTTATTAGATGTAGTTATGACATTATTCAATTCATTATGTTGCACTGTGGGAGAGTTTGGTTTGAGAACATATAAATTGCCAACTAATGAACCACAACATATGAAACGATTTTCAAAACGAATAATAACCATGTCATCGAACGAAACTGAAAAACCATCCGAGGGGAAGCCCGTACGCTCTCATAAGATTTCCTCTAACCGTCTACTTTTAGAAATTTGTCCTGGTAATTTCCTACAATTAATTTTAGCAATGTCACCCGAGGGGGAGCCCATAACCGCAATTAATTGATTTACCGATAAATTAGAAATGGAGGCCTTAGGAATTTTACAATTAACTTTAATTTAAAATCCCTTCTCAAACTTAGTATAATTTAATGAGGATTTTTAACTATTTATACAATTCCAAATTAATCTATGTTTGCAATAATTAATTAACATGCATATTAATTCATGCAATTCCAAATTAATCTATGTCAATGCAATAATTAATTAACACGTACAATAATTTATGCAATTCTAAATTAATCCATGCCAGAACATAATTAATTACATGCATAATTTATTGACACAATTCTAAATTAATTCTATGCATTACATAATTAATTAACATGCATTATTAATCTTGTAATACTAAATTAATCCCATACAAGAACATAATTAATTAACATGCATAAATAATAATTTAATGGCATAATAAATTTAAATAAACAAATAAATAAATCCACTATTATGGCCATTAAATATTGAGTCTCCTTAAACAAGGAAACTGTGACAGTTCTTTCCCTGTTCAATTGGAACTCCTTTAAGCAGTAGAATCCTGGTTGATCTTGTACTGCTTGATCATCAAGGCAAAAACGAACCACCATCTGCCGCCACCAGTCCGCCGCCGGCCACCGGTCGCCGCCTGCCAGTTCGCCGGAAAAAGCCACCGTTTTTTTTTTCTTCTTTCGAGGCTCGTTGATCTCTTGTGATCTCCCGGTCATCAACACACGATCACAACACGAAAAATATAATTTACAAAATTATATAATTCGATCCTAGATCCAACGAATGGATGTACATGTTTTCTAGACAAATAATTAAAGCTATCCGGCCAACCCCCGGACGAATAATTATTACAAACATTCATCCATAAATTCCTCGACATGCCGGAGGCTTTAAAAACAAATTTAAAACCATACATCACATTCAACAACATTCATCAAACACATAGTCGGCCATAATAGTGGATTAACTATTTTCCTGCAAAACCGAGTTATGCAAATATAATCCAATATATGGCTGCGTTTGAACACATCTTGTCAAATAAAGCCGTAAAAATTCGAACTTTGTACAAAAAGAATTAACTTGGCTCTGATACCACTTGATGGGATCTGTGAAGATCTCGTTATGTACAAATCACAAATTCAATAGCAAACGTAAACCTATGCGCAACGGATCTAAAGGTTTGACGTAGAGAACTTACGGCTTAAAATTTATGTAGATCTGGCTGACCACGAACGGTTGACCGCAATTGATTGACCGCAAATCACGTCTTGGGTTGCACGAACAAGATCAGATCAAAACCGGATCAAACGGATGCAAACAGATCAAAACGAGATTTTGCTGTCAGGCACCTTCCGGCGGCGCGTGCGGGCGCGTGCGATATCAGATTCCGGCGGCATTGGTGGCGATGGAAAGCACTCGTCGAGACGGTCGTCTGGGTATACTGTACGTCTCAATTGGACTTCCGGTTAGTTCTGTAGGTCAAAATATATTTCGTCTCGGTTTACCTACAGATCTTCTACTGTATTACTCAATACACCCTTCTTCAACTTGTACCAGTGGAGCAACAAGAAGAAGAAGATAAAGCTCAAATGAGATCTAGAGAGAGAGAGAGGCGTGGGGCGTGTATATCTCGTGAATGTAATTGGGATTCTCTTCTCATGAGCTTAATGATGTATATATAGAGCTACAGTAGGGACCCTAAGGAGATTAGGAAAATGGCTCCTTAATTAATTAGACTAACTGTGGGCCAAACCCACTCCTCTAATTATTTAAATAATACTAATGGGCCACCAACATTATATTATTGTACTCCCTTTCCCTAGCCCAAATTATATTTGAGACTCCAATAATAATTACTCGATTTACCTCCCCACGTTTAAGATATAATGCCATTAATTAATTCGATTACTGACAATCAAGAATTAATTAATTTATTATTATTTCACCGAAGCTAGCGCTCGTTCATCACATTCTTATTATGCCGGAATTTAATCCACCTGCAGGGTTTAACATAACAATCCTTCATGAACTCACTCCGGGGACATCATCAAACTAACGCACATGGTGACCGTAAATATCCTAACAGCACATCCTATATATAATAATATTACCCAAAACAGTAGGAATATTAATCCAGCGAACTGAACCTCACCCATGTGAATCAAAGTAATATATATTATATATATCTGCCTGTTTAATATCTTACGGGTTAAGAGAACGCAGTAATTAACCGAGGCCTAGTTCATTTACGACGATCAGTATAAAATGAACTTCTCCTCTCTGGGATCCTGTTCAATACATAAATGTACTAGTGCAACTAATCAGTCAAGACAAACTGTACAGTTGACACTACAACCGTTCGGATGGGGTGTTCATGTCCATCTAGGTTGTGAACAACTATTCTTGTTCGCAAGTAACTGATAGAGTGATCTTCGGTTCGCCTGATGACGACCCACCCTATCTAAGTGCAGAACAACAGAACGTAGAACTTGTTTAATCTAACATGATTCTCATTCATAAAGGGTAAATGTATAATAACATGCAAAGCCAAGCTTTCAGTATATAACACTAACAGGCCCCCTAGACCTCTACAATTCCACACAGAAACCTTCATTGACACTTGGGGGGCCATTTAGGGTTAGCCTCCTCCACCACAACATTCTTACCTTTGTCAGACCCTCTCAACCTTTTAGCAACACTCTCAGGGTTGTTCTCTGTATCCCCCAGAGATTCTAATACTCTCTTACTTCCTTTGTCATCACTCTGATCACTGATGACAATCCTTTGTTATGAATCTGCATCTTCTCCCCTTGAGAAGGCAGAGACACTCTAGGTTTTCTCTTAAAACTAGTATGACTCCTCAACACCCCTTTCTTGGTTGTAGTTTAAGTTATATTAACCTCAACAAGATCAGCACAAGACAGGGGTAAAGGGTCTTTAGTAGGAAGAGACCCAGAGTGCTCCACAGACACTACAACATTAGGACTACTCTCATTAACCTGAGCTGAAATTCCAATATTAGCTGGAAGAACAGGCACAGTGACAGCTAAGGTTCCTGTACTATGCATAGAGGCTCCAGTAGAATTTAAACCAACTCCACTGTTAGTCCCCTTAGGTTCAGGGCTTTGACTTTTAAAAGTCTGCTCCCCTTCATTTTGATTATCATTAAAGAAAGACATGCTCCCTCTACCCAAACCCTGAAAACTGGAGGCCCTAAGCCAATCTCCAAATTGCCCAAGGTTAAGCTGGTTATTTCTGATATCCTCTTTTTTTACAGCACAAGATCTGTCCCCGTGCCCAATTCTTCCACAATAAAAACAAAAGCTCAATAACCCTTCATACCTAAAGTCCACCCATTTAGTGTCTGATCCCAGCTTGATATTAAGCCCTCTGAGAATTGGATCTTTTAACTTGATTTCTACCAGCACCTTAACCATTCTACCACTATTGTTATCAGAGAAGGGTACTATAACATCATGTACTTTCCCAATGATTTTCCCAATCTTCAAGCCAACCTCCGCTGAGTTCCAGTGTAACACCCCGCTTATCAGAGTAACTTTTTTGCAACTTTTACTTTGAAAATACTTATAAATTTTTCTAAATCTTTTGCGACTAACTCGGGATGCTACTCAAACTCGTCTTCTTGAAAATCTATTTATCTTTAAACTTTTGTCTAATACTTCTTTAGACATAAAGAAAACAGATTTCCTTTAAACTTGCGTTTAACTGTACCATATTCATACTTCTCGAAATGGTAAAAACTTGAAATCTGAAATTTATTAAAAATGCAAGTTCAATACTTAATGTGCATAGCGGAAATACTTGAAAACGTAATTAATTATACAGACTGTTATAAATGTCCACATAAAAGCTTGTAATACTCTTAATCCACGATCCACACCAGTACTTCTCCACTCACACCTCCTCTTCGACCTGTTACCTGAAAATAACCTTATGGGGATGAGTAACGAATAAAGATAATCATAAACCGATATCTGATCGGTAACCAAAAATCTGTTCTGGTACTGAAACTTAAACTTTTCTCTTCTCTTCCGATATTGGATCGGATACGTGTGCACACTCTGATGGATATTTCTCAAGGCAACTCAAGCGGACTCCATCAGAACTTAGGATATACTCTGAGACAACTGAATGCCTCCTCATCCCAAGCGTATAAACTTAAACATTAGAATATACTCTGAGACAACTGATGGTCTTCTCATCCCATATGACATCAATATCGTACTCAATGTGATACCCATTCAGGGTCCCCACCTTTCTTCTTTTGAAAACTGTATGTTCTGTAGCTGTATCTGCAAGCTACATTAAAAATATAAACAAATATACTAAGTACTATGCTCGTATACTCAATAAGATTTAACTCTTACTTATCCGAATCTTAAAGATATTCAATAAGCTTAATATATCTCAAATAAATATTAAGTCATCAAACATCTTAACTTTTTCTTAAACTTTTACTCAAGGTTAATTACTTAACCTTATATAAATCATATCTTCAAAATCATAGATATTGGTTTATACTCGCATGTCACTTAAATAACTCGAATGTGAAAATAACTAAATTTCACATTAAACTTGATTGAATACATGAACTCAAAACATGCTTATCTTTTACCAACATCATATTCATAATTTATAAACTCATCTTAACTTAACTTGATCTTTTACTCAATCAAATACTTAATTCACCATACATCATATCTCCCAATTTTTAGATTTTGGCTTATATTAAATTTTCACTTAATTAACTTTAAAGTGAAAATAAACTCAAGTCATACTTCAACATTTAATCATGATATTAATATGTCATACTTAATACAATCTTTATAAGATTATATATTCAACATATTAAACTAAAACTTTGCCAAATTTTTCATGACTTATATGAGAATTGATCATATTAATCTCACTTTAATAACTTGATCATATCATGAATATTCTTGCATATATACTCATCTTTACATAGGCAAAATTGCATATAATATCACGACTTTTATCGTGATTGCAAATTAATCACAACCTTTCAACTTTTGCACAGAATATCACGGCCTTCAATTTTTTGCAAAATGATACACGCCTCTCATCAGCTGTTAAAAAAAAACTGACGTGGCACCCAAAACGACACCTCATCTGCTGAGTTGTATTTACCATCTGTGGCAAAATTGTGCCTAATATCACGATCTTCATCGTGATTGCAAATTAAATCACCATCTTTTAACTTTTGCACACGCTCTTCGATTTTTTTGCAAAACGATGCACGCTTCTCACCAGCTGCCTCAAAAAAGCTGATGTGGCACCCAAAACCTAGTTGTACATGTTTTTCCTAAACCTGGTTTTCTAATCATCAAGTCACTTCTGCATATATAACAACGTAATTAGAAAACTAGGTTAATGCAACACAAGTATAATTACATATAAACATAATTAAACCAATATATAATCCTAATTATGTGCTACTTAACAAAACTCTAAACCCTAATGGTATGATTGGTATAATGGAATAGAATTTGATAGGAATGGAATGGGTTGAAGTATGGAATGAATATGGGAAAGAAATGAAACAAGTTTTTTCATTGATGTGTTTGGTATGCAGAAGGAATAAGACTTTTATAAATAAAATATATTTTTATATTAAGAAATAGTATACTTGTCGGCTTCATATTTGTGTTTGATGATGGATAGGGAATGATGTTTTGAAGATTTAACGGGCTTATTCCTTCTGCATACCAAACACATCAATGGAAAAATTTGTTTTATTCCTTTGCCATATTCATTCCATATTTCAACCCATTCAATTCCTTTCAAATTCCATTCCATTATACCAATCATACCATTAGGGTTTAGAGTTTTGTTAAGTAGCACATAATTAGGATTATATATTGGTTTAATTATGTTTATATGTACTTACACTTGTTTTGCATTAACCTAGTTTTCTAATTACATTGTTATATATGCAGTGGTAACTAGATGATTAGAAAACCAGATTTAGGCAAAACATGAATAACTAGGTTTTGGGTGCCACATCAGCTTTTTTGAGGCAGCTGGTGAGAAGCGTGTATCGTTTTGCAAAGAATTGAAGAGCGTGATATTATGTGCAAAAGTTAATAGGTTGTGATTTAATTTGCAATCACGATAAAGGTCGTGATATTAGGCGCAATTCGCCACATATGGTAAATACAACTCAACAGATGAGGTGTCATTTTAGGTGCCACGTCAGTTTTTTTAAAACAGATGATGAGAGGCGTGTATCGTTTTGCAAAAAATTGAAAGCCGTGATATTCTGTGCAAAAGTTGAAAGGTTGTGATTAATTTGCAATCACGATAAAGGTCCTGATATTATATGCAATTTTGCCTTACATATATGCCTTGTAATTATCATAACTCATTCATTTCTCATTTTTAAATCATGAAATTTAACAGTCATAATCTCAACTCATAATTAGACATGTCATAAAAATTTCATAATTTTAGCATGCATATACATCAAGTTATTAGAATTTAAAGTCATAATGAACATAAACTTCATCTTGCATGTTCAAGTTAAAAAATTTATAACTTAAGCTATACTTTGCCAAATCACTTAATTCTTGTTCTCATGTACTCCTCTTTTACATAAGAATCATTCATTTAAATCATACTTTTCCAGCTTATTCATATCTTTATCAACATATCATCAAATCAAGCACATATATCATATAATTGATCTTGAACAACTTTAACTCTTTGTATTCATAGAATCAATTATAATCTCAACTTCTAAATCATGATATACATACATATAAACATGTAAACTCATTATTAAAACATGAACATAAGCATGTAACTTTAGATAAGTAAATTACCTCCTTCTTGCTAGAGTAAAACTTGATTCTTTACTTCAAATTCTTCACTTCTCCACAATTTCTACTACTTATCTCTCTTACACTCTTATATAACTTTTGGTACTTATCTTTGGTGTAAGAACTCTGATTTTTAGGCCTCTATTTATAGGCATAAATTGGCAAGACATCATAATAGAGTGAAGAAATGAACAAAATAAATAATTTAAACTTATAAATTTAATTAATCATAAACTATTTTATGATTAACTTGTATACTTCTCAAAACATATTTAATCATAAAAAATGGCCTTTGGTTGAGATCATAATCGGATTCTCAATGATCAAACCTTATTGTCGGTCACACGACTCGTGTGGCTATATCACACGACTCGTGTGACACCTCACGACTCGTGTGGCTATGTCACACGACTCGTGTGACTCCACACGACTCGTGTGGCTTGTCACATGACTCGTGTCAAAAAGTCGAAGCTAACTTTCATTCTCATCCTCCCACACGACTCGTGTACCTTATCACACGACTCATGTGGCTTCACACGACTCGTGTGGCTCCTCACACGACTCGTGTGGCTAGTTCCTTGATCAACTCTTAATTTCGAACCGATAACTGAATATCTTGGCCTCGAAATTACCTAAATCTTGGAACTAAAACTGTCACTTTCTTAATAACTGAGAGGGATATTACATCCAGTGCAGAGGGAGATTGGTGATTTGAATCCAGAGCTTGACTTTCTCCTCCTCCTCTGTAAATTCAGTGTGACCGGGATCCCACTCTTTCAAGATCAAGTACTGGCCGTCAAAGTTCCATGACTTTCCCTGTAAGATCCACTCTTTCTCCTCAATATTATGGAAGATGAACTGGAACATGTTGTTACCCAGGTTCCGCACTGAGATTGGCGCTCTCATTCCCCAGAGGGAGATAATTGTAGCCTTAAATGCTCCAAAGTTAACCCGTTTCTCTCCATAAATCCTACCAATGAGACTTAAATTTCATTCCTGAACTCCTAGCGCTATATCATCATCCTCCAGCGTGACCCCATTCACCTCTTTTTCAGAAAGAACAAATTTCTTCAACTTAGTCATTATCTTCCTGTCCTAATGCCGACCCAAACAGCGGAACCAAAGCTACAGCAAAAAGGGTTAGCACAGATAAACAGGAGGACAAAGGAAATAGGAAAGGAAAGATTAACACAACTAATCAAGAAACAACGGAAATAGGAAATCGCTAATTCAGATGCGAACACAACTTAATAGCAAAGTATAGCAAAGATAGACATGGCTGTCAAGACCCATACTAAACACCTATGCCACATAAACCCTAACCCAAAAAGCAACAATAAAATCCACAAACCCCAGGCAATTTCACGTGTTACTAAGCTACAACATAACGAAGTCAAAGTAATTAGAGCAGTTCTGATTTTTGCGCTGCTCTAGGGTTACGAATAGTACTCCCCTATATTCTCGTGCTATTTTAGGGTTATGGATAGTATTGTCTATTTTTAATAATTTGATTTTCATATGTTATTTTAGGATTATTTTAGATCAACCAGATGATACATTTAAAAAATATGGAAAAAAAAAAATTTTCCATCTTTTAGCTAGAAAACCGCGTCTATCTTCAATCTTTTACTACTCTAGAGTAGAGAATATCAAAATTTAACTTTTGTCTCCATCCAGTCGCGCTACATTTTATTTTATATGAAATATATTAGTACAAAATAAAATTTAAATACAACTATAAAATCAAAACTTTAAATTATTTAACAAATTAAATAATTTTATTGATGGATATTTTATCAAAATAATATTTAGAAATAAAAATCAATTAAGAAACTAAAATTTGAATAAAAAAAATTGTAGAGCGGTAAATAGTACCACGCTACATGTAGCACAATACTGTTCATATCTTCAGAGTAATGTGAAAATGTAGCGCAATATTGGAGTAAGTTTTTCGCCCTACTATGGAGTAGAGTAGAAATGTGGCGCCGGACTATATATATATATATATATATATATATATATATATGGTTTGTATTTACCTGAAATAGAAATTAAAATTCCGCCTAAAATTTTTAAAATTACTAAACTTAGTAATGTTTTTTGAAAAATTTCAAAAAATTCCGCCTCTAGAAATTAATTAATCAATTTATGGTATAAAGTTGTCAAAATTAATAAATCCGATTTTGGTATAAAGTGAGCAATTTTATTTGAGGTATGTGATAGTCATTTGTAGTTTTGGTAAGAAATGTGTTGTTATTAATAAATATCCAAATTGGTGATTTTATTTTGGTATGAAATGTCCGAATTTAAATAGTATGAGTTTTATTTAGTATGGATAGAAGTGTATTTGGAAATTTTGAAAACAAAATAAGTTGTATGAATTTTATTTGGTATGTGTATGAAAGATGAATTTTAGGTTAATTTATTATAAAATCAAGGTTGGTACGCAAAGGCCTTCGACCGGCTAGAATAGACATCGCCTTGAGCTTCCTCGCCGGTAGATCGCCTGCAAACCTGCAAGGTAAGTCTTCCCGAGCCTGATGTTTCCTCTCTTGTCGGGCCGTACGACAATGCCTTGATTTTTATGATCTCTTATATCGTCCCAACCTCCGATATTTTAAGTTTGAATTAGAAAAATTAGGGTATAAGGGTAGTTTTACGCATACTTTAATTACAATCACTATCTAGTCACATTCGATCTTAGGGATGATTACAGTGAGGTGTGACTCAAGACGTACGTGAACGCCTATGGTTGCACTGCCAGGGTGTTCAAGTACATTGATGAAGATAGAGGTTTTGACCTCCGAAGTCGAGAAGGGCCAAAAGCCGAGATGACCTAAAAAGGCTGAGGAGAGGGTCAAAACCACGCATGCATGGCCTAGGAAACAGGTACGAGCTCGTATGCAAGGCACACAAACAAAAGAAGAACGACACAAGTCGACCCTTACGTGGGTAAGGCGGTCGACATGTGTGGGCGTGACCTAGAGCAGCAGGAGAAAGTCCTGCGTGAAGGCAAGGACGCACACATGGGCGCGGTCTCGGGGATCTTGCACGAGGTTGAGTCGCGCACGAGCGAGTCTGGGCATAAGAGCTCGCAGGGGCCTCGTAAGGCTAGATCTAGCAAGGGAAGGTCTCACAGGGATAGGTTTGGTAAGGTTAGGCCTGACAAGGATAGGCTTGGCGAACCCGAGTGCACCGAGTGCAAGGGAGCAGACTTACGAAGGTCGCGCGTGGAGGTATGCGAGGGCACACAAGAAGGCGACCCGAAGGCAGGCAACATTCAGGTGGAAAAAGGTGCACTTCTGGCAACATGAGCGCACTCGCAAGGCAGGGTGGTAGCACGACCATGCACACAAGGCGACCCGACAGCAAGGGCGCGAACACGCGCATTGGCGTAGACGTGCATGGTCGAGACACTGGAACCCCGCACGGCGACGACAAGAGTTGGATGAGACTCGGGCCAGATGACTCGAGCCTCGAGTGAGGGAACGAGTATGCACGAGCGGAGCTCTTGCGAGTGCAAAGGCACGCACCCAGACGAGGCACGCGAGCGTGGTGACCAGGCGTGATGGACTGAGATGCACGCGGGAATGTCCTGCAAGGCGAGAGTACACGATACGCACGGACGTGCGACGCAGGCGCACAAGGACAAGCACGCGCGGAAACCGGGAAGAACTGAGTGAGACTCCATGTGCACAGACGGGACGCGCGCGCCAGCTGGAAGGGCGCGCGAGTAACTCGGGTCGAGCATGGACAACAAGCAGGAAAGCGTGCCTTGGGGCCAAGTTGAGTCTTCTAGAAGGCACGAGCAGTCATTGGTCGACGAGGCTTGGGACGCAAGGATGGTCGGCGTAACTTGACGGGAGAATGTTCTAGAATCTTCTAGAAGGTGTGGTGAAATATTCTAGAAGATTAATAGGTAGCTTATTATTAGATTAATTATATTTTTAGTTAGTGTTAGGCAATTCATGAGTTAGGCAAGTTGTTAAGTGGCGGCGTGAGTAGTATGGCTAGTAGGATGATTTATTTGTTTAGAATTTTTTAGATTGTTAGGCGTGAATTAATTAGTTAGGATATTTAGTATTAGCGAGTAGGAGTTATTAGTTTATGTTAGAAGTTTAATTATTTTAGAATATTAGATATCTAACACTTAGGACTGAGTTTTCTTAGTACTAGTATTTTATTCTTATTAGGATTGAGATATCTAGCTTTTAAATATCCCATTGCATTGTTGAAGATTATGAATCAAATCAAATTATTACAAAAGCAGATCCTCAGATTAAATTCTCGTGTGTTACAGTTCGTTAGGATTTTATCATACAAACTGTGTAGAAAAAGGTCTAGGCGCAATGGCTACACAATTATCGCATGAAAGAAAGGCCTATTGCGCGCCTTTCGAATCAAATCGAATTAGCAGATACACGATCTTCATATTTGGTGCTTTCATTGAGAGAGTTGATAGTGTATCTTCTTCATCTTTATCTTCCTAGTTCTTTTATTTAAATAAAAAAACATAATTATTCAATTGTGGGGTTTAATCGCACCAGGTCGTGCTTAAAAAAAAAAAAAATTAAGGGCACGAAAGGTGAATTGGTCGAGAGTTGTGAGAGGTGTGGTAATTATTAGGTTGAGAGTGAGTTTCTTGTTGTTTTTTTTGGGGGGAATTTTATTGAATTGGGGGTTGGATTTTTGGAGGCTGAACGGACAAAAAAATAAAAAATAAAAATCGTGTTATAAAACTAGAGAGAAAGAGAGAGAATAGAGAAAATGTATTCTCTTAGGTACGATTTTCATTATAACTGAAGGTCCTATTTATAGGAAATTTCTGATGGCACAACTCGTAATAATACAAATACATCGAGGGCAAAATAGTCATTCACATACATTATTTTATTATTCCATAACACTCCCCCTTGAATGACTATTTTCTAAACATATTTTAACTAATTTGAATAAAGCCCAATCTGTACATCTTCAAGTGTATCTTGTGGCCATCAGGTACCGTTGCTTCAACATGTCAGGAAAACCCGGTGGGATAAAACCTGATCATCGTGGAAGCACAACTTTGCTCCCCCTCAAATAGATCATCTTTAGTGGAGTATCCATGTGTGCTGCCTCGTTAAAACCTTGTCAAGAAAATCCAGTGGGAAAATAACTTTATCGAAGGAAAAAGAGTACAGCTACTCCAGTCTCTCTTATCACCGTGAGGAATCATATCATTTATCCAATAGTGCTCATGATACCATGAATATGCCTCGTTAAAACCTTATTAGGAAAAACTCAGTGGGACAAAATCCTAATGAAGGAAAAAAAGTACACTATTCATGTCCTTGTTGCCTCATTAAAAAAAAAAACCTTGCTAGGAAAACCCAATGGGACAAAACCTTAGCCAAGGGAAAAAGAGTACAACGCGTATTTCATATATTCACCATAATAATCTTTCCATAATTTGTATGAGTATCATATAAATTCGTTCAGATTTTCAGATACTGATGGTATTCATGACAATATGTCATATCATGCTTTGTGCAACGTTTATCCTTAAACTCATTCTCATCATCAATTGATTTCAATGGTGTTACTGCCAATAGTTCCCAATATTCACATTTCAGCTGATTTCATTCTCGTCAATATCATTTATATAGCGCTATTCATTTGTTTGTGTCGACACTTATTCATTTCCATTATTCCCCGTAGTATATTGAGATATCTCATTATCAATTGATTTCAACAATAGTAAATATACCCTCTTTCATCACTTATTCTGGGAATTTCAATTTGCACAATACCAATGCTTCCAGCGTATTATTCCACTATCATATCATTTCATATAATTCATCATCATCAGTATCATATAGTTTATGATTTGCACACTTTCACTGTGATGCATATATCATTTCCAAATTTCAATCATTGATTCTCTCCCTCATCTTAACAGATTCCTGATCTGTATTTTTAGTATTGAATTTCTTGAGGGGAGTTCATATAGTCTCTATTTTGTTCTTGATTTCAACATATATTTGGAGGACTTTGAACTCATATTATTTGTAGTGTGCACATTTTTCTTTCAAGAGTTCATCATATCAGGTGAGTATATTACTAGCTTCATCACTTTCATATGACACTTATTTTCATTCTTTCATAATCATCTTGTGTCATCCTTAGATCAAACCATCTCGTAAATTCAGGTTACATGTCATATACACATTCTTTGATCAAATCATCTCGTAACTTTAGGTTACGAATCACACACATGTGGCTATCTAGTGGATCCATAATATCTAGTAGCACACATGGAGGGGTAGTGGGCCCA